GGGAATGGCGGGAAGGAGAAAAAAACACATGAAAGATGCATGGGGCGACGACTTTAGCTGCATATCACTGCGTCGCCGGTGAGAATCCAGGAACTCGAAATCCCGAACGATCAGGTGACGTCGCAGGAGTTGTTCGCCCGACAAGAAAAACATCTTACTAATTCACAAAAGCAATTAATACGAATCCCGCCCCAGTCAACGATCAACAAAAAAGAATTCCTGGCGCCGCATCCCGCAACCGGAAACTGTGACGGCTAGGAAGGCAATGCACAGCACCACTGGAGAAAAACATAAACAACAATAGAAGCAACTGCTAAAACTCGCTTCGCCGGCTCGACCGTACAGGGGTTGGGAGGCGAACTGCATTTACTGCGGGGAAAAGGCAGGAGGTGGGGGCGGGGAAAGAGGTGAAGGGGAGACAGATGAGGAGGAGGAGTGAGGGCCAGGATGACCGTTTAGGTCTCAGGAGCCGTAATGGAGAGGACTGAGTAGGGTTATCGACCTGGAAGGTTGATTGGAGGTAAATACTGGAAACAGGAGCGAAGGCTTACGGAGGAATGGGCCTATATAATTTTTTACGCTCAGCACGAAACTTGATGATAACGAGAAAGACCTGAACTTGTGAGAGAAAAAAAAAACAAAAAAAAAGAAAGCGAAATTAAAGTATCGGAACCTACGAATAAAAGCTAAAGAAAAGCAAAAGCTAATAAAAACTCAGAAAGCAGAAGCAAAAAACAAATAAGCAACTTAGCAAAAGCAAAAAACTGTGAGCCCCGTCTGCAGTAGTTGGCCTTCCTGTGTATGAGACTGATGCTCAGGTAAAGCTGAGAGCGCTGTCTCATTTGCTGTCAGCTTTACCTAAGCGTCAGCTTCGTAAATGAGAACGACGGGGTTTTATAAAACTGTTTCGACTTGCATAGACTCAGTTTTTTTTTGTTTTGCTTTTACTTATTTTGCTTTCACTCACAGATGTACTTTTTTTTTGTTTGATTTCGCTTTTATTCGTGCGCCCAAGTTTGCTTTAATTTACTTTTTGTTGTAACGCTTTGTTGTCTTTTTCTCTTTATTGCGGTCTCCAGTTTTTACCTCGATTTTCTGACTTGTATCCCCTTTGTACCTCTTCACTTCGTTCCCGAATCCTGTCTGCAAAGTAACATCTGAGCCTGCCTCCATCTCCACTATAAGAGCACTTTGGAAGCAAGCAGTATTTCAGCCCTTTCCTTATCCCGGAGCATCATCCCCTTCCCCACTTCCTTACGTGGTCTGGCCAATCATCACAGGATTCACGCCATGCGGCCGTTCAATCTACCCACCCATCCTCTCCTCCGCCTCGAATCCCCGCGCGCGAAACTCGCACGCACCACGCCTCCACTCCTACTCCACCTGCGGAATTCATTGTCCTTTGCTACAGTTAGGTAAGGAAGCCCGTCGCCGTCAAAAAAAAATTTCCCGCAAATTGTGCATGGCGCCGGTAGAGCCGAGCCGAGATCTGGTAAATGCTGCGAATTTCGCTTCACAGTCGCCAGTAATGGTCCGCCGAAGGGCAAGTACGATATATTTTGGTTTTATCGTGCAGCAAAATGACTTTCTCAGTAAACGAAAAATCGTATATTTGCAACTCATCGTGGGACAGTAAAAAGCTAGCACGTTTCCGTGCGGAACCATGAAGTGACGCTCAGCTAAAGTCACAAGCTGTAAATTGCATTACACATATGTACACCACACACATACACACGTACATACGTTTACACATTACGCATATGCTCATTACATATACACATGGATGCGTGCGTACATATACAGACACACGCATGAGCACATGCATACAACATACATACATACATATATACATATATACATACATACATACATACATACATACATACATACATACATACATACATACATACATACATGCATGCATAAAAGCCGAGCAAGATGCAGCATGTTGAAAAAGATTTTAAACCTGATGGAAGCTAATTTAGTCTTTCAGGGATACAAAAATTGCTGGTAATTTTTTGTTTTAAGGGATCCCAGCATCTACGCTTCACTCAGTCTTGTCCTACGATTTCTCGTGGACATTGTTTTCCACCCCCACCTAAAGTTCACCAGCAGTGTTTTAGAACGGGAACAGAAAAAAATCACTCGTTTTTGAAGACTACGTGAAACTATACGCTTTTCCACGCCATTTCTAGTTTGTTCTAGAAATAAACAGTTTTAAGCCTGAAACAACCACTACATCCTAATTCGCCGGATCTTCTGCCTTCCTGATCGTTTAATTCCAGGCCAGAAAGTTTCGAAACATTGCTAATTGCTGAATGTTTCTGTGTAGTTTTTGATTTAAAAAATCATGCGCATCTGCGGCTAGCTAATTCGTCTACCTTTCTCCCAAGGGCAGAGAACATTCGCCTAAAATTTGGGATTCTGGTCCTTTCTGGCCCCTGAGTTTTTCCTCTCGCGAGACTTCACGTGTTAGTATGTGTAACCTAGGCGTACGAAGGAGCTGAGTTTGAAATCTTTAGACTGCGGAATATCGAGGCGTTGCAGGCAGTGTTTCTATATAATCGATTTAAATGTTTGATTATTTGATCGGCATATTGAGTCGTCTTTATTACTTTATGTTTGATCGGCTCATTCTCTATCCACTGTTACGCTTGGCAGCCGCCAAATTCAACATACGCTTCATGAACCTGGGCTACCACTGCTCTGCTGTTGAAACATTTTTCCCATTCTTTGAACTATTCACCAAAGATGATGACTGCAAAGCCAATATTGCACTTTATGAAAAAACATTAAGTTTGTGTCCGAAATATCCTAGCTTTGAAGGATTAAAATTGCTGGAAGTCGGTTGCGGTCAGTGCGGTGGAATCGATTGGATTTTGAGGTAAGCAGTGATTAGAAACAATAAAAGCACCGATTTACATTCTTTTACACGCCGCCAGGCTGTTCGTTATGTTTTCCAAGAAAGGCACGCCTTTTAGAGAATACATTTGCCTTCTTGCTTCAAATTACACTGTTACGCCTATCAGACTTATTCATATTCAATGGAGAAACTATTTAGAGCTTGGCATACTTAGCAAATCACTCCGGCTTATTTTCGCTCTTCAAGAAGGCCAAAGCTTACCATCTTTTGTCAGGGTCAGTGCGCTTCAATGTGCGTTAACTCGAGCAGCGGCTGGGTCCGAAAAGCCGCACCTCCCGAATTTGAACTGCATTTGTTCGCTGACTGAGCAAATATGCTAAAGGAAGATGTACAAGCAAAATATTTTTTGTTTTTGTTCGAATCGTGCATGAAGATAATTTTGAGAGAAGCTAGAACGTTGGAGATTACTTAAACGCATGACATATATATATATATATATATATATATATATATATACATGTATATATACATATATATATGTATA